CCCCTCTTTCATCCACGGAATTCTTCCCCCCCCCCCGCCCCCTCAACAACGTCCTTTGGGAAGAACCCGTGATGGCTCTAGTAACCTGTGCGTGCCACTGGTATCCGTCGACTAACCCCGTGTCCTTGACGGTCCACCCGGTCTCAGGCCGGACGCCCGTGTGCCGGACAGGGTGATGTTCGAGGACATCGACATCCCCGTCAGGGGCGGAGTCCTCGCTGGCAGCAAGGCGAAGAACGTCATGCCGCAGACGGCGGCCATCCTGTCTTTTCAGTCGGAGGAGACCGCTCGTCTGATGAGGGACATGTGGGACGGAGGAGTGCTTCGTCCGCAACATGTGTGTTTGTTTGCGTTGGATTGCTTGCTTTGGGTTGCTTGAGCAACATGTTGTCGTTATCGTCGTTGTTATGCCACTTTTAGTTTTTTTGTGCCGCTCTTTTTCCTCGGTCCGGTTGATTGCCAGGCCTTTTGTGCGGTTGTTAAAGAAAGGGTTTCAAGAGAAACAGGCGTATTGGGGGGCATGATGTTGCCCGCGGTAGGGGCAGGTAGGCCTCTCGCTTGTTGCTGGAGCAGTACTATTTTCTGACGATACTGTGTCGACGTCATTTTTTTGTGCCGGGTGTAACGGTTGCCGTCTGTGTGCCTCCCTCGAGCTTCACTACACCGCCGCTGCTGCCGCGTTAACTTTTTAGAAACAAGTATACCATGCAAAATACTTAAATAAAGGCTAACCGTTCGAGATAATATCCTTCTCACAGGGTGTGTGTGCGTTAAAGCCTCGAATATCATTGAGTGGGGAAAGGGACTTTTTTCAGGTATGCTGCCATCTTGTTCACCGGTCAGCCCTGTCAGGGTGGCAAAACCTAGGCGGTGGCAAGAGCTGCGCTTCGTTCTTGTGCACCGTGCTCGAGTTATTCCCCTCCAATCCATCCACGGTGTCGTCTGCTCTAGCACGTACATCACCTATACGTCCGCGATCCAGACCAAACGGAGTGTTGTTTCTCTCCTCTCTTCTCTTTTAACTGCTGTTGGTTTAACATGCTTGTGTTGGAGGCGAGAAGGAATTCAGAGAGAAGCCTCCCTCCACCCCCTCTTGATGCCAGGCCTCGCCCCCCCCCCCCCCCCCCCCCCCCCCCCCCCCCCCCCCCCCCCCCCCCCCCCCCCCCCCCCCCCCCCCCCCCCCCCCCCCCCCCCCCNCCCCCCCCCCCCCCCCCCCCCCCCAAACTCAGCCGCGGCGTATGGCGGTGAGGTTTAGCCTCGGACTCAATCGCAGCTGCATCTGGATCGGCGCGTTCAGCGGGAAGCAACTGAGCGCCATCGAGCTGATGGATTACGCAACTCGGACATGGCCCCCCGACACGCTCATGCGGCCGGTTTTCTCGGAGGCGCCGTCTAGCGTGGAGTCAGTGCACCTGACCTTCCCTTCTTGCTTGTCCGCAAGGTGAATTTGTGTACCTGCTTTGAAGTAGTTTGTAGGAGCGAGCGGTGAGAGGGGGGTGGGCCTTGAGTGCCGGTGCCTTCCTCGCTCTCTCTCTCTCTCTCTCTCGATCGTCGCTTCCAAGTTTGTAGACCTTACTGCCTAGCATGGAAGGCATAGAAGCGGGAAGAACACATCCAAGCGTGAAGACAGAAGGTAGACACGTTTTCCAAGCATGATCCGCCTCTAGGAGCGTACATAACGCTCGAACGAAAAACAATGGCAATACATAACTACGCGTTAGGGGGACGCCTTCAAGTATCAGGGATGGTTGAACATTGGCGGGGGGGGGAGACCGTTTTACCGCCTCCCCAATCCTTCCTACTTCGCAAGGGCATGAGTTCGGTCGCTGGTAGTAGCGCCAGTGCTCTTTCGTTCTTGCCTTGCTTTCTGCGCCCTCGCGCAACGGCGAAGGCGATAGTGCGAATTTTGTGACGGCGTCTATACCGCTACGTACGTACACCCGTGTGTTTCGCGGTTGCCGCGCGAACACATGAACCATCTACACGTACAGCACGCATGCCGTTCTCGTCGTGTCATATCCCCGCCGTCAAAAGAATCGCAACAAGAGGTTGACACATGGCCGTCCATATTTGCGGCGGAATCACGTCGTCGGCTTACCCCTCCCCCTCTTTTTTTTCCACTCTGAAGGGACGCCATTGAAGGCCTCCGGGGCAACCAGCCCGGGAAACAACTACCGGACGCAGAAGCGTCAGACGGGCGTGCGGACGGCGGTGTCGGGTACATCGCCGGCACGTCTTGCTCCGTTCTCTTCTCGCCGCTGCTGACGCTGCCCGCGGGAAGGTCGTACCGTGTCGGGGAGCTTGGCGTGCAACGGGCGGCGGCGGCGGCGGTCGCGGGGACCGGGGTGGGCGGGGACGGTGGCGGCAACGGCGGAGCTAGAAACGACGCCAACGGCGTGAGGAGCCATCCGTTGGCCTTGGCGGGGAAGAACGGACCGGTCGCTAACGGCGCGCCGGCCGGATCACAGCAACAGCAGCAGCAGCAGCAGCAGCAGCAGCAGCTCGGACTCACTGCCGATCAGATGGCGGCCGCGGCCTCCACCACCGCCGGTGTCAACGGGGGCGGTGGCGGTGCGTCTTTGTCTTCGGGAACGGCGGCGGGGACCGTAAGTGCGCCGGGGGGGGGTGTCAATGGCGTTGGCGGTTCCGCTGGCACTTCCATCGGCACCACGGCTTCAGCCAGGGATTCGGAGATCGCCGCAACGCGGGGTGGGACCCAACCGGGAGGGACATCTGCGGAGGGCGAGAGCGAGGCCAGGTTGCCGACAGTAGGTGGGGGGGGTGGGGCACCGACAAGTGGAAAGACCGTGGCGGGTCCTGCTGCTGCTGCTGCTGCTGCTGCTGCTGCTGGTGTTGGTGCTGCTGCTAACGTGGCCGCTGCAGCTACCACAAGCAATGTTGCTGGAACAGCAGCAGCGGCAACAACAAGCGGGAATGCAGCAGCGGCAGCAGCGTCGACGAGTGGGATGACGGTGGGGCGCGAGGTTAGCCGGGAGCAGGGCACCGCTAGCTCCGCTGCACACAGAGCAAGGGGACATATTACGGGAGGGGGGCCCGAAACGGAGATAGTGGCACAGCAGCGCCAGCACCAGCTTCCACATGAACATCAGCCGCACCCACGGCATGTTGAGCACAACAATCACGGCGGCCTGGTCCAGTGTGGTGGCCACGAGGTCGACCGGGGGAGCTACTTCGTTTCAAGGCCCTCCCCTAAGGCTAGCTTTGATCAGGTACGCCATCGTACAGTCAGCCGAGGTCCCTGTTTACTACCAGTGTTTTCGGCGGGCACACACTGAATTTCCATGCCATTCTCAATACTGTGACTAGTGTCGGTCTGTTTAGTGCCAGTAATTTTTTCCGGGCACATACTGCTGTACCGGCGCTAACCAGGGACCTCAATCGTGCCTACAAGCTTGTGCCTTGCCTCCTGGCTCTCTCCTCCACAAAGCGCGGTCCCCAGTTGCGAGACGGAGCAAAACCCCGTTTCCCGGTCGGGGTATGTAACAACAGTATTACTCCATTTGCTTGACTGGTCGTTAGAGGTGGAGGCTGTTCGGGTGTTAGTTTCCCTTCTGTTTCCAGGCGACTGTTCGACTTGGAGGGTCTTTCATGTTCTTTGAAGCAGCTGTGACATTCTTTTATTTCTATTTTCACACAGCAGTAGCGGGTAGAACAGCGAAGAACGCCTTGTATCCGGCTATTTTTGTGATATCTCGGAAAACGTCTTTGCTGAGTAAGGGAAACATGGTCAAGTAGGATGGGGTACTTTTATGTTTTTGCATGCCTTAGCGGTTAGACCATTGACCACGCGTCCTGGAGAGGACGGACTATTGTTCCCACAGGACCGATCACCGATGGCCAATCGTCCCTTCCTACTTTCTTTGCCAAAGGTGGCTCAGGAATGCCGTCCCTAGTCTATTTATCCTATCGATATCACCTCCCGCTGGTTCGACCCACTTCCTATGCCCCAGTACAGCAAGTGCAGCGGGGGCATCTTTGCGTCATAGGTTGCCTTCTGTGAGTCGCCCTGGCGTGAGTATGTCATATCTGCCGTTGTCGCTCCATTCCCATGGCGGTGTCCATTCTACGCGCTTTTCCCTGGTGTTTGGTCGAGACAGAGGGACGATGATCGGTATGTCCGAATACTGGATATCGATTCGGACCCTCTCTACCAAGCGGTGCTAGACGCATGCGACCGTGTCGGAAGCTTCCGGGTCGTCGGCTGGTGCAAGCGGCGGTGGCTGATGGACATCCTCTTCGAAAGTCGAAGGTGACGGATGGCAAACGCTCAAATTTCTCCCCCACACTATTATAGTGGTGCTCCGGTCTGTCCGTTTTAGTCTTTTCCTCAAGTTCCCCCGACACTACACTACGATATGTAGTGCTGCCGTGGTACCCCACGTCTGTCGAGTGTTTCCTCAAGTTACCCCCCGGCGCTACTGCTGCATGATAGTACAGTCGTCCCCGCGTTAAGGGCACTCTTTGTAAATTAACTCCCCGCTTTTAAGGACGAAAAAAAAGTCACAAGCATGGTGTCCCGCAGATATACAATATTGAGGGAGTTAGCAATCAATGGATACTTCCCCGGGTCAAGGACACTTTCAAAAAATAAAACGATGGGTGCCCTCAAGCGGGGTCGACTGTACCCTACGCCCGTTGAGTCTTTCCGAGACTCGCCTCATTCTGCCTTCCAAGTTTCGTTTGGGGCACACTCTGAAGTCTTCCTCCCACAAAATCATTCGGCACACACGGCAGGGATGCCGCGGCGGCGCTCGACGACATCGACCACCTTCGGCTCGCCAGCTCCCGTTCTCGAAGACCGATCAAGGTGACGCGCGACACGACTATATTGCATTTTTCCTTTTTCGCCCCATCCATGCTAGGCGCCAGTCTACACCCTTTGGGTGTGTTGCCTGTTTGACGCACCAGCTAGAGCCAAATGGGAGGAAAGTTCCCTCCGCGTTTTCACGGAGGTGTAACGATTCTGGTAAGGGATACCCTGGGAATTCGACCCTTAGCTTTCCGTTGTGATCCAGACGTTACTGCATATCCTTGAATGTGTTGTCGAGCAACATTGTCGGTTGTTGCAAGTGAAGTTGTTGCTGTCATCGGTAGACGAGTATATTTCAGGTGCACGCTTTGGAGGAGCAAAGGTCTGTGGGCACTAACCCCCCCCCCCCCCCCCCCCCCCCCCCCCCCCCCCCCCCCCCCCCCCCCCCCCCCCC